CCATTTCCATTTGAAAATCCAACACCATTCAAGTGACAGCGCACTTCTGTGGCTTGTGCTTGCCCGCTTTTTAAAATAGGGTCACCCAAAAAAAAGATCTCCCTGTTTAACCAACCTGGTCTTTCCATTAACAATGTTACTCTCATTGGCATTGAAACAGGATTCAAAACTAAAACAGATAGAGAAATAAAAGCTTATTAGATTGCTAATCTAAACATTGTTCAACATTGTGGAATCAATCTAGATCCTAGAATCAGTGATCGCCATTCATTGGTTTCATCTCTGTCAGAAAAATAATTTTTATTCTTTGCTTGTTTTTTTCATGTAATGTGAATGCTGAATTTCCTAAAACTTACTATTTATTTAAGGTAATTTTCCATACCTGTTTTTATAAATTGATTAGCATATCTTTTCCAATCAGTCTCCAGGTGTCACCTTTATTTTACTTAAACACTTAAGTATAGTTTTAAATATACATATATTTAGCCATTTCTAAAGTAAAATATCCCTAACACCTTTCCACATACAATCTCTCCATCGGCTATATTGTACCAGGAAATGAGATGCTTACAACAGTACGTAGAGAAATAGATGAAACATTTCCTGGAATACTGGATGACCTTTACGATGTCACTAAACTCCCCCTATTTTTATTACTCGTTCAATTACACCACCGTTCCCAGTTTGCCCCTGAAGAAGAAAGGTCCACCTTTTGAAAGTGCTCGGATTATAGGGTTTTTATTCATTTTTATAAAGCCATTAAAATGTTCAAAGGCTAAATATTGTAAATTTGTAATTATAATTTGCTTTTAGAAATAAATACTTTGAGCATGCTGAGTTTGAGAAATTAATATCACCATTTTGCTGTGAAAAGGCAGCAAATCAAGTGTGTGAGTATATCAAAAAGGCCAAAGTAAAACAGACTCTTGGGTATAAGGCTTCTAGCTCCATTGGGCTAGTATTCATGTTGATAAGTGCAGTTTCTTACTTATCCTGGCCTGTTGTGCTACTGTTGATATTGAGAATATTAAAAAAACCACTGATTTAAAGCTAAAATTTATTGATTATTGGCAGCTACATTTGTTCATTAATTTTTGGAAATTTGATTACTTAGTATTAATAAGTAATTATAATTTAGGTTTAAAAGTTGATGCTTATGTAAGCGGTTGTGAAAAGCTTTAAAAACAATATGTTGTGTCAGATTAAAGCTAACTGCTTGTTTCAGTGATGTCATTTACTGGTTAGTGGTAGTTAATTATAAATTTAGTATTAATGTATTTTTTTAATTAACTGGCAAGTATGAAACAGTCAGCATAGGTAATTCTTATATAAAACTATATATGTAAGTGTGTACAGCTAAATAGTGAATCGCTGGATTTTATACTTAACACATAGGATGTTTAAGGTGTATCAGATGTGGGTAGTTTTGTATCTTCTATGTTTGAATGTTTATTGAGTTATAGTTTTTGCTTTTTTTTTCATAGTCCCTCTTCCACTTGCCAGTTTTTAGGAGGTTAGTTCTACATTTTTCACCAAAGATAGATTGGGAAAGTGATACTCAAAATACAGTGGTAAGTGTTATTTGTAATTTATTTTGATAATGTTGGCTCTCTTTGAGTAACTAAAATTGTCTGGCTAGTAAAAAGTAGGATCCTTCAATAACCTGCTCAGTAATGTAAAGGTTAAAGGTGCCTCTATAAAGGCTGGTTTCCCCGAGGTAACTTTTACTGCATGTGAATTGATATCACTGAATGTTTTTTGTGTTGCTCTCGAAAATGTCATCTTCCTCATCTCACCTTGTAAACTGTGGGATACTTGCTGCTTGAAATTATAAAACAGTTCTAGCCCCCTCTCAGCCAATTAGGAAGTTACAAACAGGTTATAAAGACTTTTGAGATCATCATTACACCACCTTTTTTTTTTCAATGTTTTCAAGAAGGTGTGGAATGCAAAAAATACTAAGCTTTTAAATGATTTTTATATAGAGAGAGATTTACTTTGGGACTTCAAAAAATATGTAAAGTATACATAAACAATAATTTTAAAGTTGTGTCAAAAATAACATTCCAGCATTGTTAGTGCATGGGACAGTGAACATTTACTATAAGTAACGTTTCCTTAAATTAACTCTCTCTCTTCAGAAATCAAAACTGAGAAGTCATTACTAAATGTAGTACTAACCTGAAAACAAATAATTTTAATTCATAATAAACCATACACACTGTGTAGAAAATGTCTGTTTGTTTATTTTATTGAACTGAAAGCAAATTGTTTCTTTTAGTGCCTACTTGTCAAAGTCAGCATGATGTGCAGGATCAGCCAAAACACTTGGAAGTCACTCCACCATTATTTAAGTGGGATGTGACAAAAATTGCCTTGTGGAAACCAGCCTTAAAATGTATAGTTTATAATAGAGTTATGTAACTTAAAAAAAGGCAAAAGTGGGAGTAAACTAGCAAATCTAATTAATTCTTAGTGTAGTTTTCAAGAGTGTCACAGTAAAAATAAAGTACACTGGGTCCCCATTATACGTTGCATCGCTCTGCATTGTTTCATTATTAGTGTTCATCCATGTATCAAACAATATTGCCTTGTTTCAACGTCGTCGACTACTTTTTCAGGTGTAGTGTTTACTAATTACTACCAATATTTCTGATACAATGTTACCTTATTTCATTACTGGTGTTAAAACATTGTTGGGCTACTTTACCAGGTGTAGTGTTCACCAATTACTGTACAGTATCGTACTACCAACTTGTGTGAAGCACCGTTGCCGTGTTCCATTACTAGAGCATGCCGGTGTTGTCGGACTAGGTTACTGGGTGGAGCGTGATATGTTGTCTACTGGCCAAGATGGCGGAGAATGTAAACATGTTGTGTTTGCGTGCCATTTTCTAAATAACACGATGTTTTTTTAGGCTCAAAAGCAATTACCTAGATAATAAAGTGCCTCTTGCCGAAAAGCTCAGGAAAATAATTATCTTTGGCACTAAACTGTTTAGTCCTTTAATGTTCTTACATGCATGTTTTGCATAGTATATTGTAGTTAAAAAGGTCGTGTTACACCCTTTAAAAAGGTTATTCAAGAGTAGACCGAAATATTTCAGAAATGCATCCCCCCCATAATACACGTAAAGATTGTGTTTCTTAATGTTGTTTCAGATGTACGTCCCACATTCCAGGAATGCATCCCCCCATAATACACGTAAAAATTGTGTTTCTTAATGTTGTTTCAGATGTACGTCCCACATTTCAGAAATGCATCCCCCCCATAATACACGTAAAGATTGTGTTTCTTAATGTTGTTTCAGATGTACGTCCCACATTCCAGGAATGCATCACAACGTATAACAGGGGACCCCCTGTATAAATGTTTAATGACCCATTGAGTTGTGAAAGGTTAAAGATGCTTAATACACTGCACAAAGTTGATGATCAGAGGTTTAATATTGTGGTTACAAAGCAAGACCACTGTTATAAAATGTCAATCACTGTCATCAGTTCATTGTTGTGAAAAACAAGCATCTGTTGATCAGGTATGTGATCTGAACTGCATATGGTTGATTATTCTGCCTGCACTATATTTAGTGATGTCACACAAACCTTTTACTGATTAAACTGATTACTTCAACTTGTTCATGAAACATGGACAAATGTCAGAAAGACGTTGGAATATTTCACTCATGTGTACAACAATCATACAAGTGAAACCAGCCAGTAAGTTGGCCCAAAGTGTCATTAGCAAAATGTCTTGCTGCTTCCAAAACAATGGTATATTTGAGCGTTGAAGCTATGTGCAATGATAATAGTCTGTCTCTATCCAAGTGTTGAAGCTATGTGCTATGATAATAGTCTGTCTCTATCCAAGTGTTGAAGCTATGTGCTATGATAATAGTCTGTCTCTATCCAAGTGTTGAAGCTATGTGCTATGATAATAGTCTATCCCTATCCAAGTGTTTAAGCAATGTGCTATGATAATAGTCTGTCCCTATCCAAGTATCTAAGCAATGTGCTATGATAATAGTCTGTCTCTATCCAAGTGTTGAAGCTATGTGCTATGATAATAGTCTATCCCTATCCAAGTGTTTAAGCAATGTGCTATGATAATAGTCTGTCTCTATCCAAGTGTTTAAGCGGATAGAGACAGACTATTATCATAGCACATAGCTTCAACACTTGGATAGAGACAGACTATTTATCATCCATAGCACAAGTCACTGATCAAATATACCTCACTTTGGTTAAAGAGATCCTGCTGGAAGACGGAATCAGATGCTGTAGTTGCACCTGAATGCTGTTTCTGAGAACAGCCAATTGGAAACAAGACTTCATAAGGCCAACATGTTCACCTAACACCCAGTGAGGGGCATTCTGCTCACAACATTTTTGAGATGTGTTGTATCTTTGTCAAGTGATTAGGTATTCAAGATGCCTCGGGAACAGTTTTTTTCAGAGAAGTGGTCAAGAATACCTTAGACCTTATCAGTATATTGACTTTAAGCATGCAATATTGGTGCCAGGCTGACCTTGTAGTTAGTGGTGACCACACTACATGTTATAGTGAAATGTAATGAACTGTAGGGATGTAAAACCCAGCACTGCCAAATGTTCACAAATAATCATAGGCTGAATAACAATATTCAATATTTTTACATTTCAGATCACATTGCAGGTCATTGCATGCCCAATTTTCATAAAATGTCAGTTGATAGGGTGATTCCTATCATTTTATGGCATTAGTTTTGGTAAAGTATCGTATATTGGAAGTATCATTTGTTTGTTTGTTATCTGTGTCTATACTTTGTAACAGAATGATATAACATAAATTATGGAGTGGTAATTAAAGAGTAGAATTCTCTTAGGACTTGCTGAGTACTGAAAAGCTTATATTATATAGTTTATAATAGAGTAACATGTAAAACATTAAAGGGTGATAATTAGTAATTAGAATTCTCTGATAACTCACAGGATAGTCAAAAGGTTAAAGTTGCCTGTTTAATACATTATATAGCAAAATGTGGTGAATTAATAGCAAGCGTTATCCTTGTTTTCTATACATTGGTTGTTTGCTGTATACAGAACATTAATGTGTTAAATTGAGAGTTATAGAAAAATGATACTTTCTGGTATATTTAAAGAAATAGGCAAAAATGTTGTGATAAATAATATTTCTCATCTGCATGTAGAGAACTTTAAAATATGAAGTGAATACCTGTATGCAGTGTTGTTTTTCAAATGGCATTCTAAACATATTATCATTCAGTTCTTTGTCTTTGATCAAGATTTAACTACTGCATTAAGTCACAAAGAAGAATGTTTGATTTTTATATCTTGTCATTTATATACCAACATTTAGAAGTTTTTTAGATTCCATTGATTTGCCCATGATGTTTCCATTGCTTATTCTTCCACAAAGTCCTACTCACTAGGTAGTAGCAGTTTTGATGATAGATGGTACTATATCTGAACATTTTTATTTGAAACATCACAGGAAACATTTTGGATGTTGTAGTGTTGAATCAAAACAAATTGCATATAAAAGATCTAAATCTTATTGAAAACTGTAAGATGTTGAATAGGATTAAAAGAGCAACATGAAGATAGTTTTAGTTTTCACCCTTAAGATGCATTATGAAGCTATTTTCTCAATTTTCTGATATTGAAAGTTCCTGCATTTCTGAATGAAAAATGCATCAAAGTGAACACTGGGAGTGTAATAATGCCTAAGTTTTGTAGTTATATTCTTGACAATTTATTTGAAAGGAGCTAAATTTTACATGTTTGGGAACTGTTTCTTGCTTTTTGCAACTTTTTGTGATTAGAGATGACTTTATTAAAAATCTTAACAAATGCAGACAAAGAGAGCAGTTGAAGTTCTGAAACATAGTAAATTCACAAAAATTGGTAGAGTATAAATTATTGAGGTTCTGTGATACAAAATTTAACCCTGTTCAGGATTGATGCATTGAGGTTCTGTGATACAAGATTTAACCCTGTTCAGGATCAATGCATTGAGGTTCTGTGAACAAGATTTAACCCTGTTCAGGATCAATGCATTGAGGTTCTGTGACACGAGATTTAACCCTGTTCAGGATCGATGCACTGAGGTTCTGTGATTCGGTGATTTTGAATAATGAAAATAACAAAACAATTCACACACCATTGGATTCCACAGTCAGAAATTAGTAGATTTACACTGCAAGTTCAATAATGTAGGTAATAACTAATGAAAAACAATTACATATTGTACCTGTAACATGACTTTCCTAGTGGAACAATGTTAATGTCAGTGACGGATATCAAATTATCACTTTACCTGGTAACCTGATACTGCGTGACACCTGTGTTAAGGTAAGTGTAATCCCAATAACATCCATCAGTTTCAAACTCATACATGTATATTCATATTATATGGATAAATGAAATGAAAATTATCAACAACCAAATGTTGATAATGAAGTATGAGCTTACCCATGTACCTATGAAAGTATAGGACAAATTTTGTAATCACATTGGTGGTAAACTTGAAATACTGTGATTGACAGGTACATACCGGTAGTAACCTCTGTATGTTCTATGTCATGTCATGATATAATTGATACATTGTTCATACCACTTTTATCACAGATTGTAGCACACATTTTTTTCGTTGTAGCCACACCCAGTGATATGACTTATGACAAACTTGTCAAGACAGCATAGTCTGTTTATGTCCGATGATATGACGTAAAAGCAAGCAGTTGCCAGGAAAATGCATAGGCTGTTTACAATTCCCATCCATCATGTTTTGACTTGCTGTCAGTTCAGATTGGACCAATATATCTATGTATCAGTTTATCCTTTATGTAATCATCACCACAAAGTTTATTGTATGGCCTTATTTAAGAATTTTAAATGGTTTTAAAGCATTGTTTTTTCAAATAGTAAATGCTTCTGGATCCAGTGAAACCGGCCAGACTACAATAGAGCATGATAAGAGGTATCGTTTGATGTATCACTGATCCTTATTGGTCCAGCCAATTTGAACTGAAACCTTGTTTTTGGTTTTCACAGTTGATCGCTGACAAATGGCGGACAATGGGTATAGGGAACTTAGTAATGTTTTTAAAGCCAATTTGCTACTAGTGGGAGTACAGTTGCCTTGAAATAAATCAGGCAAATTCAGCTTGGTCGTGTAGATGTTGTCATTTGTTTTTTGGTGTATAATAATTAGTTTTTTGTTTATATAAGATTTATATGTTCACAACTAAAATTTCACATTCACATATTTCTGTAGCCAGGAATTATAATTCTCTGGGACTCCTTACCTTGATACAATTGTCAGTGCATTTCAGGATGGATGTTCTGAAGTTCTGTGATACAGTTGTTAAATCATTCCAGAATAGATATACTGAGGTTCATGACACAGTTGTTAATCCTTTCCAGAATAGATGTTCTGAGGGTCTGTAATACAGTTGTTAATCCATTTCAGGATAGATGTTCTGAAGTTCTGTGATACAGTTGTTAAATCATTCCAGAATAGATATACTGAGGTTCATGACACAGTTGTTAACCCATTTCAGAATAGATGTTCTGAGGGTGTGTGATACAGTTGTTAATTCTTTCCAGAATAGATATACTGAGGTTCATGACACAGTTGTTAACCCATTTCAGAATAGATGTTCTGAGGGTCTGTGATACAGTTGTTAATCCTTTCCAGAATAGATGTTCTGAGGGTCTGTAATACAGTTGTTAATCCTTTCCAGAATAGATGTTCTCAGTGTCTGTAATACAGTTGTTAATCCTTTCCAGAATAGATGTTCTCAGTGTCTGTAATACAGTTGTTAATCCTTTCCAGAATAGATGTTCTGAGTGTCTGTAATACAGTTGTTAATCCATTTCAGGATAGATGTTCTGAGGGTCTGTGATACAGTTTTTAATCCTTTCCAGAATAGATGTTCTGAGGTTCTGTGATACAGTTGTTAATCCTTTCCAGAATAGATGTTCTGAGGGTCTGTGATACAGTTGTTAATCCTTTCCAGAATAGATGTTCTGAGGGTCTGTAATACAGTTGTTAATCCATTTCAGGATAGATGTTCTGAGGGTCTGTAATACAGTTGTTAACCAATTTCAGGATAGATGTATTGAGGTTCTGTGACATAATTGTTAACCAATTTCAGGATAGATGTATTGAGGTTCTCTGATACAATTGTTAACCAATTTCAGGATAGATGTATTGAGGTTCTGTGACACAATTGTTAACCAATTTCAGGATAGATGTATTGAGGTTCTGTGACACAATTGTTAACCAATTTCAGGATAGATGTATTGAGGTTCTGTGACACAATTGTTAACCAATTTCAGGATAGATGTATTGAGGTTCTGTGACACAATTGTTAACCAATTTCAGGATAGATGTATTGAGGTTCTGTGACACAATTGTTAACCAATTTCAGGATAGACGAAATCTTGAGTTTATGCGTGAGTTAAGAAAACTGTTTGGCTTGATGGTGGCTAGTAAGAGAAAGTACGTAGATCCTTCCGAAGCTCTGGATGTGCTACGTGAAGCATTTCCAAATAGTAGCAGTACAGACAGTCAACAGGTATGTGTTGCCCAAGAACATTTAACAATTATAATAAAGTGTAGAATACCCAGAACTCCATGCACTGTCTATCTTAAATTATCCTGTTTTCTGGTTGAGAATTTAAGTAATCATTAACAGTTTAGATTGTGTGGAATGATTACTTTCCAGCTGATTCTGTTTTATGTGAATTTTATAAGAAAAAATAGAAAAATAATGTATTTTAAAAATATACATAATTTCATGCAAAGAGGTGTTATTGTAAAAAAAAATGCAAATATTTAAGAAATATTTTTACTTAAAACTTTTCAAGTGAAAAAATTAATTAAGATTTTATATTGTGGGTGCATAGGTTTTTATTATTATTGTTTGTTATAAAACATTTCTGTGTGATAATTTTTAAGAGTAGAAAATGAAAAGAAGCTCAATTATGTATATGATTATTTACTCATACCAGCTACATAAATTTGTAGTATTTGTGTGTGTGTGCATTTTAATCTTTAATTTGTGTGCTAATACTTAGCAGTAGTCAGTTGATTTTGTGTACTGTTGAATTATTTAATCTTAACTTGGGAATTAGATACAAGTGTTTTCACGGTACAATTAGAAGGGAAAAATATCATGATTATTAAAAACATACAGGATGGCAACGAAAGTGACATAAAAGTTTTAACATTTTGCACATTTAACTTATTTGTGTTAAAAGTCTTTTAATTTCTGTTGTGTGTAATAAATTTCATTAAATGTGAAGATTTACTGTATTTTGTTTAAACAAAATTTTTTATTCTGTTCTCATTATTCTATAGGATGCTAGTGAATTTACTCACAAGTTATTAGACTGGTTAGAAGATGCTTTCAAACTGGATTCTTCACTGCATCTGGATTCTTGTCAAGAAGAGTGAGTTAAAGAAAAGTTTCTACATTTGTCATCTGAAGCATACCCTGAGATTTACACTGTGTTTTGAGATAGAATGGTTGAAATATTGTTAGAAATATACAGGATGGTCCAAAATTATCTCTCCTATTTTATGATTTAATAATTAACTAACTGAGGAAATACAACCATGTAGTTTTTAACATCTTGTAGCCAACCTCAAACAGTTTTTATTGACAAGTCGGTAGACTTCTATATGTTCACCATTAGTGGCTCTCGGCACGTCTAACTGATATTCGATTTCACTCCACATTAGATGTAACATGCCCACAGTTACGGTGGTGATGGCATCCATTATCCTGGTGTGTGATCCTTAAAATGATCCTAATACTTTTTTCTCCTGTACTGGCATCTGTAATTACTCTAAACCACAGACACTGAGTTGGTCTCTGCAAACCAAATGATGGTTGCCATTTTACGGTGTAATACTACTCACTGGAGAAAAAAAAAAAAACAACAAAAGTTTTTTTAGTTGGTCTACAAGATATTGAAAACTACATGGTTGTATTTCCTTAGTTATTTAATTATTAAATTTAAAACAAGAAAGTTAATTCTGAACCACCCTGTATAATCCCACAGATTGTGATAATATAAACAGAAATGGGTAATTTCAGGATTAAATATTTCATAATGTACAGATTTAGTAAGAACAACAACAAAAGAAGTTGAAATATCAGTTTACATAAGTATTGAATTTACATTATTTTCCTTTTCCACTTGCATGATTTCAGGTCTTTTTGCCATAAAAATGTTCATTTTCCTGTATCATACTTTTTATAACTTTGAGAAACTAATTAATGTAATACAGAACTTATGTTTATTTTGTTAAAGCCAAGCAGCAGTTTAAAACTACCGAAGCTCATGTGAAGTTGTTGATAACGTATGTCAAGTTATATGTTGTGTGCTGGCATGAATATATATCTGTTATCTCAGTACATCACCAACTGATCAGAACTCATCCCAAGTTGTTGATAATGTCTGTCAAGTTATATGTTGTGTGCTGGCATGAATATATATCTGTTATCTCAGTACATCACCAACTGATCAGAACTCATCCCAAGTTGTTGATAATGTCTGCCAAGTTATATGTTGTGTGCTGGTATGTATACTTATATCTCTTTTATTTCAGTGCATCACCAACTGATCAGAATTCATCCCGCTGTCAAAATCCTATGTTAAACCTTTTTTATGGGCACTACAGATCTGAAGGACTTAATGAAGGTGAGTGTTGGTTAGAGGAAAGTGCTTTGTCATATGCTTAACAATATGATTATGATTATAAAGATAGTTTCAGTACAACTGTTGATTTTTTCAGTACATTTAAAATAACTTGATAAATATTTGAATAAAACCATTGGTTTTTGTCATCACATCCAGAACAAAACAATAGAGGAAGTTTCAGTGTAGCAATTGTCTTGTCATCATATTTTAAGACAATACAGTTGTAAAATTTTCAATTTAATAATTTTTTGTCATATTTTAGAACAATACAGTAGTAAAAATGTAATCACCAGTTTGTGTGGGATTGTTGGAAAAATGGGTTTTTGATTATATGTGATTTGATTGTCAGTCATTAATATTTTAAGCAGTTTTCTGGTTATAGGCAATGGAATAAGATGAAAGCATAATTAATAAAATGTCTGTTGTTTCTGGACAATGTGACATTAGCTTGAATTATGAGAAAGGTTTGTTAATTGCTGTTCTTGTATTGGCTTATTTTGTCCTTTTTGATTTTCATAACCCAAATGGTGTGATGCTTGGGACAAAAAGTATGCTGTGTGGTGTAACCTTTGGTAAAATAGGTGTTACTAAACAGTTTCACAGTTTGTCATGAATGCACACCACACAAATATTAAATTGAAAACATAAATTTCTTTCAGCTCTTTTTCTCATTAACTGGGTCAAAATAGTGAGATAGTTTTATTTATTCTGAAGAAATAGTGAATAATGTTACAATTTCTTGAAAGATCAAATCTTGACTGTATTGGCCTTGTAGATTTACTGTTGGCTTGTGAAATTAATCTTTCTCCCAACCAGTTGTACGTACTTGTGTGTTTATAAGTTACACCTTTTATTTTATTTTTTCCTCTGATATCCCGATGCGATATACCCACTTTGAGCAACATTTATGGTAAAACTGTTGACCTGAGACTTCATCCTTTATGATGACCTGAAGGATTTGTTTGATTTTTGCTTTCTTGTTTATGTGACAAACTTGGTATTGTGGTTAGTTATTTTTATGTATGTGCTGTATTATTTGGCGTAGTATGGCCACGTGTTTAAGTTGTTTGACTCACAATTTGTGGCTTGCAGAATCCAAAACTGTCACTGCACCTGCAGTGGGGGTGTTATAATATGATGGTTAGTCATTGGTAAAAAATTAGCCCAAGAGTTGGTAGTTAGTGGCATTAACTAGCTGTCTTCCTCTAGTTTATCACTTCAAAATTAGAGATGGGTAGTGGAGACAGCCTCAAATTGCTTTATGCAAAATTCAGCAAACAAAACTTTTTTAATATTTTGTTTTCTGTTTTATCTGGGTGGGAAGCAAAAACTTCAACCAATTAATTTTATCTCTTTCTATTTTACTGGGTACATCATTTAGAAATGTTCAATATCAGAAATAATTATTTATTAGTAACATTCAACTAGAACACTTAAACACATCATTTAATCTTGTTTACTGTTAAGTGCTAATAATCTGGAAGGTATATATATGTTATTCAAGAACATTTATTGAAATTCCTTCAGGACACACCTTTGAGAATGAAGAGGCATTTGGCCAGTATCCACTTCAAGTTACTGGTTTTTGTGACATCCATGACAGCCTAGAGGCTGCTATGGCACAGGAGATAGAGTCCTGCTATGGAGATTCAGTGACAAATTCTGGGCAAGAAGTAAGAGTAATATATTAAAATATTTATAATAGGTAACATATTTTGTATGATCTTATTTATTCATGTTCAATTTTGAAATGTTAACACAGGTGGTGTGGATCAGTGGTCTCCAACCTTTTTAAACTAACTTTATTGTTAAGGTCTATCATTAAAAATGTTGTTGGATATTGAGTTTATGGAAATACAGCTTTAAATCTGACATGGAGCAATCAGAGCCATGCTGGGAGTCACAAATTTTCAGAATAATGATAAAGTGCATTTCAAAACATTTGAAAATGCAAATGCACACCTTGTTGATTACATATGTTTTATAATTTGCTAATAATGAAGGCTAAATGATAATTCTTGCAACCTACTTACTCAGGTACTGGGGTCAACTGGTTGTAGATCACTAATTGAGATCGTAGAGTAGAAAATCACTTTTATAGATTGGAAAATAATTATTGTTGTTCAAGAGAGAAATTAAATATAAACTTTGGAAGCTTTAATTGAAATTTTCATCGTATGTGATGTAGTATGCAAATACTACATATCTCACTCTGCTAGAGTATACATTTCACATTCACAAATTTTTTTAAATTTCTAACTTATATTCTGGAACATGCTAAATTCTGCCTTCGATATTACTTTATGTAAGCTGTCTGGGACTCAAGGAACTGATGTACTATTTCATGGGATAGTTGCTGTGTATTCTACTTCACTCTGTGTGTGGAGGACTACTTTTTGACTGTCATATGGAGCAGAGACATGTCCACATTTCAGTGTATGTTTTCTGATTGACAAAGAGAAAAATAATGTATATTGTGAATGAAGTTTTGGCACTTTCAGATTTGACTTACTTCAACTTTCGAGAAAGGTAGTTAATTTTTCTGACTCCAGAGTCAGGACATGCTAGTGAAGTCATGTGCATGTCCTAGCCATTATAAGTGCTGATCGTGCACTGTTCAACTTGATTTTCAGTTAAATTAAGAACATCAAACACAGATTAATTCTTTCATTCACATTACAGTAGTGTAGATGATCAGCTGTTTGTGTTCAATGTACGTCAAACAAATAAATTGTTGTATTTTATTTTGATATGGATTTCAACACCATGTTTTGTTTCTCATTTGGACGAGGTAAAATTAGATGACTGTGCCCTAGGTTATATAGATTATCAAAGAGATAATGTATCCATAATAATTAGCCTATTTTCTGAGTTTTTGTCATTTTCTCATTTTCACAGACTCATTTTTGTGGTTACAATTGCTTTGAAACATTAGAAACAAAGACAGTAAACACATAACAAGGCATTTTTCTAAATATAAGAATGTTAACTGGAGGTCATTGAAAGTTTTATGTATGAAATAACTGTATGTTGTTTTATAAAAGTATTTTCAATTGTTACAGTTCTTGAATATGTTATTGCACAGTCTAGCTACATTGTATTTATAATGTTGTAATTACTTCTAGGTTTTAAATTTTAACGTTTGAAAACAGCCTTTCCTAAAAAGTATAGAAAATCAGATGAAATTAAAACAAGTAAAAATCAAAATTATTCTATATATCATACTAGTATAGTGGCATATTTTGCAAATAATGACTTCTCTTAGAAAGAAAGTAACTGAAAGACAAAGTGAAATCACACGACCTGTTTTATGGATCCATTTTTAAAGTTATCTGATGACAAAATAGTTTTGATTCACTGCCGACAGCTTGTATAATAAAAGTAAATTTTGGAAGTAAAGAAAATTAAAAGTTTTACATAATATACCAAAATTATTTTCTTTACAGATTTCACATTCTACATATATTCAGGATGTGTGGTTATATTACACAGTTTTAAGAATATGTCAGAATGTACTTACAGCATGTAGACCAGTATGAAGGAATTGTTAGGTAATTTTTATCAGCATTTTAAAGCTAGTTTGACAACACTCTTATTCAATGTCACAAAATTTTAAATCAACTATCACTATACAGTGCCTGGCACATGAATACGAACACCTCTGAAAACAGTGGTGTTGTCTGAAGTACTCGTAATACTTCCGTGCCAATTATAAACCTAACTGTACTGTGTATGAACCCTTTCAAACAAGGAAAAGATGAAGTTACTAGGCCCTTGTGGGTCTGTTTCTGCTTGTGTTATATTTCAGATTGATATAATCAATGTCAACTCTATGACAAAACTATTCATTTTATTTTGCCAGAGCACTGAGTGTTGAATCATATGCATATCTTATACATTGTATATTTAGTACAAGAATAACTTTCATATAAAAAAGCTTTTTTCTGTAATTTTTCAACTGTTTGTTAATGTTTGGGACTTGAAAGTAGTTTCGATGCATGTTTCTTTGTGTACCTTTTTTTTCAAGAAGTTTTAATTTCATGTAAATATTGTAGAAGATATCTACTAAACCAGTTTAGATGTATTTAGATACCTACTCAACCAGTTTAGGCATACTTAGATACCTTCTCAACCAGTTTAGACGTATTTACATACCTACTCAAAGGTATGTAAATACGTCTAAACTGGTTGAGTAGGTATCTAAATACGTCTAAACTGATTGAGTAGGTATCTAAATACATCTAAACTGGTAGAGTAGGTATGTAAATACATCTAAACTGGTTGAGTAGATATCTAAATACATCTAAACTGGTAGAGTAGGTATGTAAATACATCTAAACTGGTAGAGTAGGTATGTAAATACATCTAAACTGGTTGAGTAGGTATGTAAATACATCTAAACTGGTTGTGTAGGTATGTAAATACATCTAAACTGGTTGAGTAGATATGTAAATATGTCTAAACTGGTTGAGTAGGTTTGTAAATACATCTAAACTGGTTGAGAACTCTACCAGTTTAGATGTATTTAGATATGTACTATACCAGTTTAGATGTATTTAGATATGTACTATACCAGTTTAGATGTATTTAGATATGTACTATACCAGTTTAGATGTATTTAGATACGTACTCAACCAGTTTAGATGTATTTAGATACGTACTCTACCAGTTTAGATGTATTTAGATATGTACTATACCAGTTTAGATGTATTTCGATAACTACTCTACCAGTTTAGATGTATTTAGATATGTACTATACCAGTGTAGATGTATTTAGATAACTACTCAACCAGTTTAGATGTATTTAGATATGTACTCTACCAGTTTAGATGTATTTAGATATGTACTCTACCAGTTTA